ACTCAGTGTCACTTAACAATAACAAGAACAGTCATGCCACAGAGTTTTGGTATGGCACTGTAGAATAAACACCAGAGTGCTAATTCAAACCTACCAGCCACTCCTTGGAAATAGGGTCACTATGAGTCAGAACCAACTCAACAGCACACAATACATACAACAACATGTCGCAGTAACATAACAAAGACAACATCTTCCCATATGTGATTATAACCACAAGCATGGAGATTAAGATTTACAACACATATTTTAAGGGAAACAATTTAATCTGTTACAGTAAGTTAATAAATTTTACAGGAGAAACAAACAAATCAGAAAAATTAGTTAAGAGAATTTCTAATGTATCTGTTAGGTACCCAAAATTGTAAGATATATAGTATTTAGAATTTGTATTTCACACAGCAACTCATATTAAGTGATATTTTTCAAATTTTCTTTGTATAAAAGGACCTTGTGAAAAAGATTCTATAAAAAAGTCCTACTCAAAAGAGAAGCATGAAGAACAGAATATCAGTGTCACACATGAAGTCATGGTGAGGTGCTGTGGGTTAATTCGCTGGACTGAAAAGTCAGTTTGAACCGCAAGATTGATGGTTCAAGCTCACCAGCCACTCCTTGAACTGACTTGAGGGCACTTAACAACAACAACAACAAATTACACATGTAAAAAATGGTTGAATTAGCATATATTTTGCTGTGTGTATGCTCAACAACAGTTGCAGTAAAAAAATGTTTTCTATCTTGTTAAAATTTTATGTATAATGCAATTTTTATTCACTTTTTTATTACTAAAAGTTTCAAGCCTGTGCCCTTTGCCATGAGACCAGAAGAACCGAATGGTACCAAGCTATCATTACTGAACATTTACTCAAAGATTCCATAGAGGAATCTGATCAAAAGGGGAGAAATATAGAACAAAATTTTAAATTCTCATTAACTCCAGACTTTCCAAACACTTGGAAAGGTGGGTGAATCCCTAAAACTATTTCCCTGAAATAATCTTAAAACCTCAAACCAAAAATAGGCACTGAGCTCTTCTTAAAACCAAGTAAGGGTCCAATTTAACAAGCAAAAAAGGTCTGCCTTGAGCATTATACTGTTTTAAGAACTGTCTGTATGGGATCAAAGGAACCTCGGCCATGTTGTGGATTAGGTGTTGGGCTTGCTAACCACAAGGTCAGTGGTCTAAACCCAACAGCCACACCTCAGGAGAAAGATAAGTTTATCTGTTCCCAGAAAGATCTATAATCTCAAAAACCCTATATGCTGATGTGGCACTGTAGGATAAAGCACTGGCCCACAAGGTTGGTTTGAACCGCAAGATCAGCAGCTCAAATTCACCAGCTACTCCTTGGAAACCCTATACAGGGGTGCTATGAGTCAGAATCACCTCAATGGCACTTAATAATATGAGTTAAAATTGACATAATTACAGTGAATTTCATTTGGTTTTGGTTAATTCATTTTCTAGGGGTCCTAGTGTCACAAAGGCCTAAGCAATGGACTGCTAACACTAAAAGGTCAGTGGTTTGAACCCACCAGCTGTTCTGCAGGAGAAATGAGGAGGCAATCCACGTCCATAAAGATTTTTAGCCTCAGAAAAACTACAAAACAGTTCTGCCCTGCCTTATAGGATTGCTATGAGTCAGAATCAAAACAGACAACAGTGGCTCTTTGTTTTGTTTTTTCCTTCTATTAAATGGTGGACAAAATAAAAGATTCAAAATGTGGGCCAGAAACAGATAGGAATAAGTCAACATTTCCTCACTTTTTAAAGTACTAAGAATTAATCTTCAATAAAGTTTTGTCTTCCATTGATTTTAAGAGTGCTGCAAGTGCATAACTAACAATTCAATCTAGTAAAACATTACAAAGTTCTGGGGGGAAGAACATGTTCAAGAGAAACAAAAACTTCTTTTAAAAACTATTTGAATACAAAAAAAATATGGTACTGAACTTCCAAAACAGACTATACAACACTCTTCCAGAACAAAACTAGAAATGCTTATTCTCCAAACTACACAAAAAGCCAAATTAGACATCTGCCAATTACTTCAAGAAGCACTGTCCCGTTCTGTCCCCAGGAGTACTCTGTTCTCTGACAGAGAGGACCCCACCTCTTTAGGAAAAAATTGTTTTCAGCTAAAAATTAGAACACTGGAACAGAGCAAACAAGTGTTTCCTCTTTGTTAAATACTAATGGCAAGTCAAAGAGTTTAAATAAGTAATAAGACATGCTTTCACAGTCTGTATTAACTTTTGGCAGAAAAAACTGAAAACTGCTATTTTCAAAATATTTCACACTTTCCTCCTTCAAAACCAGTAAGGATTACCATGAAATATACATTCTCCCCAGTCTTTAAAAAGACAAATATACAACAACAACAAAAACATGAAACTACTGAGCATCTAGAGAGCTATAAGGTGCAATTTAGTTCACCTAAAGGTACATACCAACTCCCTAGGACAACTCCACATATTCTAATGTGAATAGTGCTCTTTGTAGTGGTGCAGGGTAACAATGCTGAGGACCTAAACAGAACCCATTATAAACTTACAGTTAGTTCTAAATCTAGCTACAGGATCAAAAGGAAAATACATTACCTGTATATTAGGATGGTCAGAGATCAGAGCCCCTTCCTTGTTGTAGGTATAAACTACAAAATCTTTGGGCAAAAGGTCTCTAAAGAGGAATAAAACACACAATTTAGAATTATTTTATCTATATGCAAAAGGGGTTCAATAGCTCATGGAAAAACTGGAATTAAAAAATAATGGAATTTTTCCACAAACTTTATGAAGCTCCCTCATACAATTAAGGACACAACCCATAAGACATTATTCTTAGAAGAAATGAGTAAACAAGTTTCATCTCATAAATTACTAAAGAATGGGCTACTGGCCTACAGCACCCCAGCATTCATCTTACTCTGGCCAAAGTTCACTAGTTTGAATCATTGTGTGCATTAGGTCAGGGCTGGGGCTAGACCAGACCTATGTTGCCTCTTCCACAATCAAGGATTTCCCTCCTTAAGATTCTGGATCCCAGGAATGAATGCCAGTAAGTACAGAGTCTGGGAAAGTCACTTCTATTCGCAAGAAAGAGGTTATAGATGCCTCTCTGTCTAATGGCCTAGAAGGTTCTGGTTCTTACCCTTGTAACTTTGAGGTTCAGGAAGCAGCCTACTTCCTAGTCATTCTGGGCTGACACTGATACTGGCCTGGGAACCAAACAAGCCAAGGAGGTAGTGACAGCATGTGGATTTAGCTGCTGTATAGGGGAACAGAGCAAGCTGGTCATGGTTAGAAGAGTGGATCTCAGGAATTTCATGAACCCTTTCCACTGATGTGTGAGAATAGTGTATCTCAGATAGTATTTATTATTTATTCATAAAGAACATTAAACTAAACATTTGTCCTAATGGTCATTAAACACATTAGCAAATGACACAACATAAGCAGTGTCTTTAAATTGGTCTGATACATCTTACTTGAAAAATATAAATTAGGTTATTCATAGTACATTATACTTCTGAAAAAAGAGAACAATGTATTCAATACCTAACCTCCTAAGTACGCAGGCAAAATTCTGTGCCAGTTGTTGGGAGAAACAATGATTCCCAATTCTTGAAGTTTTATTCCAGGTGAGAAGAACTCAGAAGTGCAACCCATATGTAAGGTAGGGTTATCATGCAGCAGGTCTGGAGCAGTACTGGGCTTTCTTAAGGACTTACTGGACAAGTCAGTGTAGTTAGGGATTTATAACACCCTGTTTAAAGTTCAAAACTCCCCTGGAGGCAGCTAAGACCAGCTTGTCTATATAGTTCAGAGAGCACTAGACTGGTGATTTGCATGCTGTTTAATCAGTTACACAGCTTGACTTTAGCTACACGACCAGCTAGAGTATAAAAGCCTCCTTCGGTAAATTGTACCTGGACTCACTTGAAAGTAAAATACTTCTCATATTTCCAGTGGTTTGTGATCTGAAGAAAAATCACACTTTTGCAAAATGCTAGGGGATTTTGCCTGGAATTTTTTGAACACTTTTTAGAGATTGTAATTTTCATTAAACCCTTTCAATTAAATGATGTTGTATAGTCAATGCATAGTCTCTTTCTCCCATACTCCCCCATATATAAACATTCTTTGCTCCCTCCATTGGTAAATTTTAAAGTAAAACCTGGAAATGCTTGGCTTTTTACCAGCAGCCTTTTACCACAGAATGGTACTACCACCTGGCAGTTGCTGACAAAGTAAAAAAATCAAGTTAGTAAATGTGTTTATGCTTAAGTGATGCCTTATTTAATAGGCTTTCCATTGTTTCTATGCATTAGGGGCACATTCATGGACAACAGTTTTTACTAATAAAGAATAATTTGTGACAATCATATTACTGCTTATATCTTCTTCTTTCAGGGATTGATATTTTGTCCTGTATGAATTTTTGAGCTGGAGTAGCTGAAATAGTAGGTGATGGTTGTGTTGTTAAGTGCTGTCAAGTCGGTTAACAACGATGCTTCCTCTTTAAAATTCGCTACCTGTACAACAGGAGCACTAATTTTGCTATGCTTCTCTACAGCTATTGTGCAACACTGACATGAATGGCTAATTCTGTCTAACATTGGGGTTTAGTATTAGTAGGCCCATCAGGCTCTGATTCTAAAAGAAATCCTCCAACCTAGTCCTTATCAGTAATAAAAGGGATATTATAATCTCCTTAATGTAGCTGAATCATCTATTTGGTTTTTAAATGTGCTCTAAGGTCAATAAAAACTCAAAATAACATGTTTTCCATGCTTCTGTTCTCATTATTCTCACTTATTATCAATCTACTAAACTACTGCATCTAACTAAAAAACAAACTGATATAGTACTAAACAAACAATACTGAAAAACCAAAGTAAATTAAATTTCTTACTTGTTCCTTTCCAAGTGAATAATGTGTTCTTTTCCTTCCGTCTGAATGACATAAGATACCTAAGTACACAGAGAAGGGGGGACAAAAAATAAACCCACAATGTAACACCCTTTTGTAAATTACTTTTAGATTGCAGGTCTGTTTGGTACAAATTATAATTCTTTTGCAGGTGAGTCTTATATCTGCTCTTGTTGTTGTTGTTGTTAAGTGCCGTCGAGTCGGTTCCGACCCATAGCGACCCTGTACAGGGTTTCCTGCTCTTAGATAATATAAATATAAGAATATACGATAATCAATCTCACCTTCCTTTACTAATCTATTGTGGAAAATCAAATTTAACCAACAACAAAATTAACTTAGACAATGAAAGTTATAGATCACCACTTGAAGAGATTAGGGAAGACTTAAATAAATGTAAAAATGTTCCATGTTCATGGACTTGAAGACAACATTGCTAAGATTGTTGTTGTTGTTAAGTGCCGTC